TAAAAAAAAAAAAAAGGACAGTTACAAACTCTAGTGGTTTCATGTCCAGCATGGCTGTAATTGATGTGACTTGATCTGGGGTCTGGGAAGGAATTCTTGAGATGTTTTTGGTGCAAGAGAAAGGTGTTTTTATTAAAGCACAAGGACAGGACTCTTGGGCAGAAAGAGCTGCACTGGGGTTGTGATTGGTTATATGCTTTTAAGTGGAGGAATGTACAAATCAGTTTCCAAAGGGATATTCACATGTTAAAGATGACATAGGATCCAGGAGCCCTGGCTATTATTGTCAAGATAAGGTGGTTTTTTTGCCTCTAGCAAAGCATTAAGATTGGGAGTTCCTGGAGGAATGTCATACTCTGCAGATCTCAAGTATTTGTCAATGGGCTGCAAGTTATAAGGACATTTAATGTTATCTGCATTTCCTTTTGCCTTTGTTTTCCACAGCAGCTAACCATTTCTTTTCTCCCTATGTTCTCAGGCAGTCGCCAGTACCTGAGGAATGTTTTACCCATCCCACCTTAACTGGGGGACGTTTGGAGGGTGTCTGCTCAGTGTAACTCACACATTCTGTACAATGTAGTCTCCCAAGTCTCCCAGAGTCTAGATTAGAAAAATGAATGCAGGGTGCAACAGAAATTCATGTTCAATTTAGACACCCCATTTTTTTTTCTTCAGCTGTACAGTTTCTTGCAAGGTAAGAAATGCAAAGCCATGTGAAGATATGGATTGTCATGTGTTTTTGTTTTGAGCAATGTAAACTTACTTTCCTAAAATATTTTACATGAGGGAAAGTTAAACGCAAAATATCAGCCATTATGTTGAATAAAATATGAGATGGGACTAAATAACATTTTACAGAGACCTGGTTTACTCTTTACTAGAAAAACACACTTCTACAATGTAGAGGATGATGACATGCAGGGGGTTTTCCTTTTTCACCTTTTACCTGGCAGTAAACCTGTATTACATCATTTTGCTTTAAAAAAATGGATATGGTCTAGGTTAGGTAATTATCAATTGGCAACGTGATATTGATATAAAACTGCTCTTGGCCAGATACAATAATGGACAATTATGACAACCATAGATAAAGAGAGAAGTTATGTCTCCTTCCCAAAATCACTGTGCCAAATCTGTGTTCAGCTCACAATTTCAAGTATTTAAAACTTCCGTTTCTATAAATATAAATAGAATAACCTTTAAAAATAGGGTACAAGGTATACATTTTTTTTCTAACTCAGCAAACACATGGAATATTCTCATTTCTGTTCTATAAACTACCTATAAACACATAGATACACACGTTACAGCAAATGCTCAGCGCCCAGGAAG